AATATGTAGTCAAGAATACTTTATCCATCAAGGCGGTCATTTGGAATAGAAGGAGATAAAGAGCTTCCCAAACAAAAACTAAAGGAGTTCATGACGACTAAACTACTACCCCGCAAGAAATATTAAAGGGGACCCTTTAAGTGGGAAAGACCAAAAGCAACAAAGTCAAGAAAGAAACAGAGAAAATCTCCAGAAACAGCGACTTTACAGGCAATACAATGGCACTGCATTCTTATCTATAAATAATTACTCTGAAAGTGGACTAAATGCCCCGATCAAAAGATATAAGGCATCAGAATGGATAAAAAAAAAAAAAAAAAGACCCATCTATATGCTGCTTACAAGGGACTAATTTATTTTTTTTTAAGATTTTATTTATTTATTTGACAGCAAGAGAGCAAGCACAAGCAGGGGGACAAGAGACTCATTTTAGACCTAAAGATACCTGCAGATTGAAAGTGAGGTGATGAAGAACAATCATGTTAACTGAAGTCAAAAGAAAGCCAGAGTAGCCATATTTATATCAAACTAGATTTTAAACCAAAAATTATAACAAGAGGTGAAGAAGGGCATTATCTCATAAACAAAGGGTCTATCCAACAGTAAGATCTAACAATTGTAAATATTTATGCCAACTTGGGAGCACCCAAATAAATCAATCAGTAACAAACATAAGGAAACTCATTAATAACAATAGGAGACTTTAATACCCCACTTACAGCAATGGACAGATCATCTAAGCAGAAAATCAAAAGGAAACAATGGCTTTGAATGACACCCTGGACCAGAGGGACTTAACAGGCATTCAGAACATTTCATCCTAAAGCAGAATACACATTCTTTTCTAGTGCACATGGAACATTCTCCAGAATAGATCATGTACTGGGTCACAAACCAGGCCTTCAACAAGTACAAAAAGACTAAGATCATACTATGTATATTTTCAGACCACAATGCTGTGAAACCTGAAGTCAACCACAAGAAAAAATTTGGAAAGACCACAAATACATGGAGGTTAAAGAACATCCTACTAAAGAAAGAGGAGTTTAACCAGGAAATTAAAGAAGAAATTTTAAAAAATGCATGGAAGCAAATGAAAACATGACAGTTTAAAACCTCTGGGATGCAGCAACGGTGGTCCTAAGAGGAAAGTATACTGCAATAATACAAGCGTACCTCAAGAAGCAAGAAAAATCTCAAATATTCAAACTAACCTTACACCTAAAGGAGCTAGAAAAGGAATAGCAAATAAAGCCTAAAGCCAGCAGAAAAAAGGAAATAATAAAGATTAGGGCAGAAATAAAAAAACTAGAACAGATCAGTGAAACTAAAATCTGTTTCTTTGAAAGAATAAAACTGATAAACCCCTAGCCAGACTTATCAAAATGAAATGAGAGAGGACCCAAATAAATAAAACCAATGAAAGAAGAGAGATCACAACCAACACCACAGAAATACAAACAATTATAAGAGACTATTATGAAAAATCATATGCCAACAAAATAAGCATCTGGAAGAAATGGATAAATTCTTAGAAACATACAAACTGCCAAAACTGAAACAGGAAGAAAAAAATTTGAACAGACCCATAACCAGCAAAGAAACTGAATCAGTAATCTAAAAATCTCCCAAATACAAAAGACCAGGGCCAGATGGCTTCCCAGGGGAATTCTACCAGACATTTAAAGAAAGGTTAATACATATTCTTCTCAAACAGTTCCAAAAAAAAGAGAAATGAAAGGAAAACTTTCAAACTCATTCTATGAGGCCAGCATTACCTTGATTCCAAAACCAAAGACCCCACCAAAAAGGAGAATTATAGGCCAATATACCTGATGAACATGGATGTAAAAATTCTCAAGAAGATACTAGCAAATCAAATACAACAGTACATTAAAAGAATTATTCACCACGATCAAGTGGGATTTATTCCTGGGCTGTAGGGATGATTCACAAATGAATCAACATGATACACCACATTAACAAAAGAAAGGGTAAGAACCATATGATCCTCTCAATTGATGCAGAAAAAGCATCTGACAAAGTACAGCATCCTTTCTTGGTTAAAACTCTTCACAGTGTAGGGATAGAGGGAACATACCTCAATATCATAAAAGCCATCTATGAAAAACCCACAGCAAATATCATTCTCAATGGGGGAAAACTGAGAGCTTTCCCCCCTAAGGTCAGGAACACGGCAGGGATGTCCACTATCACCACTGTTGTTCAACACAGTACGAGAAGTCCTAGCCTCGGCAATCAGACACCAAAAAGAAATAAAAGGCATCCAAATCCGCAAAGAAGTCAAACTCTCACTCTTCGCAGATAACATGATACTCTGTGTAGAAAACCCAAAAGACTCCACCCCAAAATTGCTAGAACTCATACAGGAATTCAGCAAAGTGGCAGGATATAAAATCAATGCACAGAAATCAGTTGTATTTCTATATCCTAACAATGAGGCAGAAGAAAGAGAAATTAAGGAGTCAATCCCATTTACAATTGCACCAAAAACTGTAAGATACCTAGGAATAAACCTAACCAAAGAGGTAAAGGATCTGTACTCAGAAAACTATAGAACACTCATGAAAGAAATTGAGGAAGACACAAAGAAATGGAAAACATTCCATGCTTGTGGACTGGAAGAACAAATATATGCTCCCTAGAGCAATCTACACATTCAAGGCCATCTCTATCAAAATACCATCAACTTTTTTCACAGAGCTGGAACAAATAATCCTAAAATTTGTATGGAACCAGAGAAGACCCCAAATACCCAAAGCAATCTTGAAAAAGAAAACCAAAGCTGGCGGCATCACAATTCCAGACTTCCAGCTCTATTACAAAGCTGTCATCATCAAGACAGTATGTGGTACTGGCACAAAAACAGACACATAGATCAATGGAACAAAATAAAGAGCCCAGAAATGAATTTGAGGAAATCTATGGTCAACTAATCTTCCACAAGGCAGGAAAAAATATCCAGTGGGAAAAACACAGTCTCTTCAACAAATGGTATTGGGGAAACTGGACAGCAACATGCAGAAGAATGAAACTAGACCACTTTCATACACCATTCACAAAAATAGACTTAAAATGGATGAAAGACCTAAATGTGAGACAGGAATCCATCAAAATCCTAGAGGAGAACACAGGCAGCAACCTCTTTGACATCAGCCATAGCAACTTACTAGACACGTCTCTAGAGGGAAGGGAAACAAAAGCAACAGAAACGAACTACTGGGACTTCATCAAGATAAAAAGCTTCTGCACAGTGAAGAAAATAATCAACAAAACTAAAAGAAAACCTACAGAACAGGAGATGATATTTGCAAATGATGTCTCTGAAAAGGGTTAGTATCCAAAATCTGTAAAGAACTTAACAAACTCAACACCCAAAAAATGAATAATCCAGTTAAGAAATGGGCAGAAGGGGTGCCTGGGTGGCTCAGTAGCTTAAGTGTTTGCCTTCAGCTCAAGTCATGATCCCGGGGTCGTGGGATCGAGCCCTGCGTCAGGCTCTCTGCTCAGCAGGGAACCTGCTTCTCCCTTTCCCTCTCCCTGCCGTTCCCCCTGCTTGTGCTCTGTCAAATAAATTTAAAAATCTTAAAAAAAAAGAAAAGAAAAGAAATGGGCAGAAGACACCAACAGACGTTTTTCCAAAGAAGACATACAGATGCTTAATAGGCACATGAAAAGATGCTCAACTTCACTCATTATCAAGAAAACACAAATCAAAACCATAATGAGATACCACCTCAAACCTGTCCAAATGGCTAAAATTAATAGCACAGCAAACAACAGATGTTGGCAAATATGTGGAGAAAGGGGAACCCTCTCACACTGTTGATGAGAATACAAACTGATGCAGCCACTATGGAAAACTGTTGGCGGGGGGGTTCCCTCAAATAGTTAAAAATAGAACTACCCTATGACCAAGCAACTGCACTACTAGGTATTTACCCAAAGGACACAAAACTACTGATTCAAAGGGGTGCATGCACCCCGATGCTTACAGCAGTATTATCAACAATAGCCAGGGTGCCTGGGTGGTTCAGTTGGTTAAGCGACTGCCTTCGGCTCAGGTCATGATCCTGGAGTCCCTGGATCGAGTCCCGCATCGGGCTCCCTGCTCGGCAGGGAGTCTGCTTTGCCCTCTGACCCTATCCCCTCTCATGTGTTCTCTCTCATTCTCTCTCTCTCAAATAAATAAATAAAATCTTTAAAAAAAAAAAAAAAAAGCCAAAATACGGAATGAGCCCAAATGTCCATCAACTGATGAATGGATAAAGATGACGGTATATTACTCAGCCATCAAAAAGAATGAAATCTTGCCATTTGCAATGATGTGGATAGAACTAGAAGGTATTGGGGCACCTGGGTGGCTCAGTCGGTTAAACGTCTACCTTCAGCTCAGGTCATGATCTCAGGGTCCTGGGATCAAGCCTGACGTCAGGCTCCCTGCTGAGCAGGGAGTCTGCTTCTCCCTCTCCCTCTGCTCCTCCCTTCTGCTTCTGCTCTCTATCTCGCTCTCCCCCTCTCAAATAAATAAGGAAAAAAAAAAAAAGGAACAAACTGAGGGGTTATAGAGGGAGGTGAGTGGGGGAATGGGCTAAATGGGTGATGGGTATTTAGGAGGGCACTTGTGATGTGCACTGGGTATTATATGTAAGTGATGAATCACTAAATTCTACATCTGAAACAATTTCACCATATATGTTAACTAGAATTTAAATAAAAACTTGAAGAAAAAAAACCCAAAACACTTCATTGTAACCTTTAAAAGGGTTAATAACTTTATGCTATGTGAATTAAACCTCAATAAAGCTGTTACAGAGAAATTAAAAATCAAGAAATCCCTTTATTTTCCAATCCTTATTGAAAACTTTGGTGAATTTCTTTTCATTTTTAAACAGCTCAATTCTAAATTGAGCTTAATTCTAACTGTGACATTAATTTTAAGTAAATTTTAAACCAAATCACAACTTTTAAACAAATACCTGTTTGTACAGCAGTATCCTTTTTGGGAGAGGTTGTAGAACTGATACATGTATTCTTTTTACCACTGACATCATCCAAGCCATGTCCTAAATTTGAAATGTTGTTAGTAGATGCATTATATTCCACTTTTATCAACTGGCAAGAGAACTATATTATCCAACATAATGACAGTTCAGGAAGATTAACAGAAAGTATGTGTAGCAGCAACTAAATACACGCAAGATTTGTAGTGCAATTAGTAAGTGTGAACACTGCAATAAAAATGTAAAAGGGCAATCCTAAATTTTCTTACAAAAAGTGATCTGCATTTTTATCCCTTATTGAATATAGGGAGATCACTTCATAGATTTCTCCAGAAAAATTGGGTAAAAAAAGTATACCTTTTACCTACTGTGAGCAAAACATTAAGAAAATTTATGTAAAATGATGTTGGAAACAAAGGCAGAAAAAAATTATTAAATTTCCTTACTACTCACAGCCCATTGACAAGTCCTTGAAATAGGCAGTGACATTCCTCTAGGAACTCAAATGCCTGGATGCTGACGCTTTGCTAAGGGCAAAAGGCAATCTTAGCCCGACCCCCATGATCCTGTAAGTCTACTTTAACATAAAAAAATTCCTCTGGAAACTTCCTTTATCTCTACCCGCCCACCCCCAAATATAGGCTGGCAATCATCCCCCAATCATAAGACCCACTGATATATATCTGAAGGGTCTCATGACTAAGGTTTTATTGGACAATAATAAGTGACCTTTTCCCAACAATAGCTAGCCCCCTCAAGGTCCTGGAAACCTTGCTTCCAAATTCCTTAGAAACTTACACTATCCCTAACCCCTCACAACTTGGAAGTATATAACGGGCCAATCCTCATGACCCTAGTGCAGCTCTTTCTGCCCAGGGGTCCTGTCTCCGTGCTTTCATAAAACCACCTTTTTGCACCAAAGATAGCTCAAGAATTCTTCCTTGGCTGTCGGCTTCGAACCCTAACATCTTTCCTACATTATAAAAGATTACTGGAAAGTGTAACATTATTTAGTTCTACTCTTAAGGCAATTTCCCAAATAAAATAAGCATTATAAAGTTACCTTAGTTCAAGATCTGAAATCCCTTAAACAATATTTAGTCAATAGGTGTGTTAAAGGTATTAAAAATAGGCAGTTATTTAAAATCTCTTCAAAAGATATTATAAGCAAAATTCTAGTGAAATGCTTACCGCCAAGATTTTTAATCAATCCAGAAGTGTCATGTCCCTTTTGAGCCAATTCTCGGATCCTCTGTTCTTGTTTCAGCCTCTGTGCTACCTCCTGTGCTCTCTGCATTGTCTGGAATAGCTCATTTGTCTCGAGAGTCATGATTTCCTGTTAATATTGAAGTGCACAAAATTATTAAATACAATTATCAAACACGTACAGACTTGACTATTCTGAGCAGATAAGCTCCTACTATGTGCCAGGCACTATTCAAGATACTGGGAGAACAGTCAACAGGGCAAAGTTTCTCCCTTTTGGAGCTTACATTTTAGTATTATATTCTACAGCTCTATTAGATCACAGATATAAGAACTCTTTTACCCACTGAAGTTACTAAAGTTTTCAAACTTTCTAAAACCAGTGGTCAATTCCATCAGAATTCCATTAAGATTAAAAATAGATTATTAAGAGGTAAAACACAAGGTTTATGGCCATTTCTTGCAATTCAAAAAAATGATATTTTTTCACTTATACAGTTATTTCATAGTAGTTGGCTCAACCTATTCAACATAATGAAATTAGAACCCAGAACATCTGCCGCTTCATCAGCTAAGTGTGGAGTAAAGGCTGAAAATGGGAAAAATCAAGAAAATGTAGGCTCTGGGCTCCATCTCCCGGGGCCAGGGGAAATGCTCTATGCTCTAGCTCGACTCTAAACCTCCCAAATCCTTGGCAATCACATGTCATTGTAGGATTTGCTCATGTTAGGTCAGCTCAAACATGGCACTTGGCACAAACATACCTATGCTGTGTGTACCACTTAACAGAGATGTTCTCCTAGCTACCCAGGTATCAACTCTTATTTAAAAAGGCTCTTATTTAGCACAAAGGAAAACTCTAACACAGTAATAAAATGTATTATCAATCCCAGCCAGTCACTGCAAATATATGCTCCTGTTCACTGTTGGATACAAACAGAAAGGTCAATCATTTCTCTTAGCACATCTAGAATATTTATTAATAATCATTGCTTAGAAAACATTTCAAAATGAAGCACATGTTTTGCGCTGTACTGGCCTTTCTTAGCAGAGAAAGAAACCCAAGCAATATAGCATTTGTGAACCGATCACTTGAAATAATTAAACCTTCTCTAGCTTCTCCCTTACATTCAGAACCTTTATAATGCAAAACTTCAATGTTTTGGGATATAACTTCAAAATTTCAAAATACATGCAAATGTTCAACTTCTGATTATTTTTCCTTTAAAAATATATCCATTTTGGGCGCCTGGGTGGCTCAGTTGGTTAAGTGACTGCCTTCGGCTCAGGTCATGATCCTGGAGTGCCTGGATCAAGTCCCGCATCGGGCTCCCTGCTCGGCAGGGAGTCTGCTTCTCCCTCTGACCCTCCCCCCTCTCATGTGCTCTCTCTCATTCTCTCTCTCAAATAAATAAATAAAATCTTAAAAAAAAAAAAAAATACATCCATTTTGGGGGCACCTGGGTGGCTCAGCCATTAAGCATTTGCCTTCGGCTCAGGTCATGATCCCAGGGTCATGGGATCGAGCCCCACATTGGGCTCCCTCCTCCATGGGAAGCCTGCTTCTCCCTCTCCCACTCCCCCTGCTTGTGTTCCTGCTCTCGCTAACTCTTCTCTGTCAAATAAATAAATAAAATCTTAAAAAAAAAAAATCCATTTTTACTCTATAATGCTATTTATGATATAAATACTACCAATGTTCATGGATTGGAAGAATTAACACTTAAAATGTCCATTCTATTCAAAGCAATCCACAGATTCAATGCAATCCCTATCAAAATACCAATAGTATTTTCCACAGAACTAGAACAAATAATCTTAAATCTGTATGGAACCACAAAGGACTCCAAATAGCCAAAGCAATTTTGAAGAAGCAGAACAAAGCTGAAGGTATCACAATCTCAGATTTCAAGCCATACATGCTATAAAGCTAGTACTCAAAATACTACAGTAATGACACAAAACAGATCAACAGAAGACAGAGAGCCCAGGAATAAAACCATGCTTATAAGGTCAACTAATCTACAACAAAGAAGGCAAGAATATGCAGTGGGAAAAAGACATCTCTTCAACAAAAAGTGCTGGGAAGGGGCGCCTGGGTGGCTCAGTCGTTAAGTGTCTGCCTTCAGCTCAGGTCATGATCCCAGGGTCCTGGGATCGAGCCCCGCATTGGGCTCCCTGTTCTGCGGGAAGCCTGCTTCTCCCTCTCCCACTCCCCCTGCTCGTGTTCCCTCTCTCATTGTTTCTCTCTCTGTCAAATAAATAAATAAAATCTTTAAAAAAAAAAAAAAATGCGCTGGGAAAACTGGACAGTTACATGCACAAGAATGAAACTGGACCACTTTCTTCCACCATACACAAAAATAAACTCAAATGGATCTAAATTGTGAGACCTAAAACCATAAAACTCCTTAAAGAAAACATAGGCAGTAACCTCTTGGACACTGGCCTTATCAACATTTTTCTAGATCTTTCTCCTCAGGCAAGGGAAATAAAAGCAAAAATAAACTGCTGGGATTATTTAAAAAAAAAAAAAAAGTTTCTGCACAACAAAAGAAACCATCCACAAAACAAAATGACAAATCACTGAATGGGAGAAGATATCTGCAAACAATATATGTGAAAAGGAGTTACTATCCAAAATATACAAAGAACTAGTACAACTCGGTACTCTTTTTTTTTTTTTTTTTTTTTAAGAGAGAGAGCCTGAGCACATGAATGGGGAGAGGGGCTGGAGAAGTCGGGGGGGGGGGGGGGGGATCTTAAGCAGGCTCCACACTGGACTAGACATGACCCAGTGAGTATGACCTAAGCTGAAATCAGGAGTTGGACACTTAACCGACTGAGCCACCCTGGTGGTCCCCCCACAACAAATAATTTGATATTTAAAAAAGGGCAGAGGACCCAAACAAACGTTTTTCCAAAGCATACGGATGGCTAACAGACATGTGAAAAGATGCTCAACATCACTAATCATCAGGGAAATGCAAATCAAAATCATAATTATATCATCTCCCCCTACTTAATATCAAAAAGACAAGAAACAACATGTGTTGGTCAGGATGTAGAGAAAAGGGAACCCTCGTGTACTGCTGGTGGGAAGGGAAATCAGTATAACCTTCTGTGGAAAACAATATGGACCTTCCTCAAAAAATTAAAAGTAGAACTACCACATGATCCAGTAATTCCACTATAAAGTATTTACCCAAAGGAAACAAAAGATATATGCACCCCTGTGTTTACTGCAGCATTATTTATAATATCCAAGATATGGAAGCAACCCAAGCATCCATCAGTAGATGAATGGATAAAGAAGATATGGTATATACAGAAAGCAGAGTATTATTCAGCCATAAAAAAGAAGGAGATCTTGCCATTTGCAATAACATGGATGGACCTATGGTCAGACGGGAAAGACAAATACCATACAAAGTCACTTACATGTGGAATCTAAAAAGATAAAATGAAAAGCAAAACAAAAAACCCCAAACACACACAAAACCAGACCCACAAACTGGTAGTGGGGAAGAGGGGGTTAGTAAATGAGGGAAGAGGAGTGGGAGGTATAGGCTTTCAGTTATGAAATGAACAAGTCATGCGGATGAAAGCTACAGCACAGGGAATACAGTCAATGGTACTATAATAGTGTGTATGGTATGCTTGTGAACACAGCATAACATAAAGGACTCTTGAATCACTATGCTGTTGTACACCTGAAACTAATGTAACACGTGTTAACTATATCTCAATAAAAAAATTTTTAATATATACTTACTTCCTTTTGTTTTTGCTTAAGTATGTCTTCTTCATACTGTTTCTGCATCTCTTCTCGTTCCCGTGCTAAGCGACGCTCCTCTTCTTGTTCTTCCTTCTTTCTTTGCTGTTCTTCCAGCTGCTTCATCCTGCGTTTCTCTTCTACCTGAGCAGTGATGGCTTTCTAGTCATAAATCATATATCACAAAAAGCACTGTCACAAATTTAAAAAATCCATTTGAAGCATTTGTATTTCTAAAGTAAGTTTATCAGTCTCAGATAATATATAATATAGTATTACATATATAAGTCAAGTTAAAATGTCAAATTTCCAATGTATTTGTCCCATCTCTCGTCTTTCAAATTCTATATGCTTTTTCTTCAACCAGGAGGGCTGTCAGAAGAAGTAATCCAAAAACAACTGAAGAAAAAAATCTCAGCACCTAGCATAGTGCCTGGTAAGGAGCAGACGTTCTGTAATTCACTTACTGATTAAGACTAACAATATTAATTAAACCGAATTCTTCATGTATCAGAGGATTTTTTAAGATTTTATTTATTTATCTGACAGATAGACAGCGAGAGAGGGAACACAAGCAGGGGGAGTGGGAGAGGGAGAAGCAGGCTTCCCGTGGAGCAGGGAGCACGATGTGGAGCTCAATCCAAGGACCCTGGGACCGTGACCTGAGCAGAAGGCAGACGCTTAACGACTGAGCCACCCAGGCGCCCCTGTATCCGAGGTTTTAAAGAATTATTTAGAATTTTAAGTCCTTTTAGTGTTAGACTAAAATTAGGAGAGAATTTTAATCTTAGTCTCCTTTCTTATATTATCTGCTAGATTTCTCAATCAGAATTCTACTTCAATGCCCTATATAGTTCCCTTAAAAGAACTAATTCTCATCCTAAACAAAATTCAGGAGAACTAAAAACAAATGAAAAAAATAACCAGTACTAACTTAAGATTTAGTGCCATTTCATATATACAGCTTATATATTAAAGACCTTCTCTTCTGGAAGGCAGGTGGCTGGCTGTACTATGTGATACTGTCTGGTTCTCAGCATCAGTATAATTTTAATATTAATGCCAGCTGGAGTAAGAATTAGATTCATCACAGGACTGGACAGGGCCTGCACTGTACATTTATATTGGAATTTTAAATTCCATTTATTTAGGTATCCACTGGCCATGACTATTACTTAAGAAGGCAAAGAAGCATATTTTACAATGCAATACCTGATGTTCTAACTGTTTTTGTCGTCGCCTGTCACGTTCTTCAATCTGAGCTGGATCCAAGAGAGCAGTCATAGAACGGAGAAAGCTGGCAAGATAAACACTTTAGCTATTCAAAACCCCCAAAAGGTTAAACCTAACAAGATGCTAAATCATTTTTGTTTCAGATATATCCACTAGTCATCTCTACTTTAAAGAAAAATACCAAACCTGAAATTAACACATATTATAAATATAACGACAGTCCTTTTAATAAAGCACACAGACTTTCTTAAACATTAATAAATACTGAAAAAAAAACTTACTTTGTTTTCTGACTGTTTGCCATGGCCTTATCTCTAACAGGTTTTGCTATATGCTCCTCCTCTGAAGGTTCAACCTGACTTCCAGTCGTAGGTGTATAAACACTGCTGATATCAGCCAGTTCCTGAGTGTCCGGAGAGACACAGAAGTACTCTGGTTGGTTGTGTGTTGACCGAGAGGACAGTTGAGACTGAGAAGCAGGATAGTTCTTCAATGAATCAAAATGCATTGCCCATCTGTCATGTTCCTCACCCTAATCATGATAAATAAGAATTACTAAGAATTTTTCTAATTGTCCTAAAACGATAATCAAACACCATTTTTAAAAGTCACCATAGAGCAGAATAAGCATCATAAAAATTAAGTTATATTCTTTACTGATTCCATATATACTTAGATAACATGAAGAATATGAGAAATTCAAAGAATTAGGAAATTCCTAAAAAGCTAGTTTTAAGAAACTATGCAAAAGCACTTACTAATGCATTCCATAAAAGGTTTGCAAGAGCAAATGTGTAATAATTTGAATACCGTAGTCTTGTCAAATAGTTCTAGGATACTTTTAGGTTTATGATTAAAGACTCAAATTATTTCTTCCCTTTGTATCATCCACATGTTACCTTTGAAGATGTAATTTTTTCCTCAATTTTTCTTTGCCGATCATCTTCTATTTGCCTGTTCAAATCTTCAATCCATTTCCTCTGCTGTTCTTGTTTCATGGCACTGAAAGGGTGCTCCGGTGGTACTGCTTCCTAAACAACAGTCACCAATACGAGCTAAAGTGCAGCTCTCTTTTTCTAACCACTTTATCAATCTTGCCAAAAATTTATACAGATTTAAGCAGAAAGGTATTTATCTCTAAGGGGAACAACAATCGTAAACAAAAATTCTGAGTTATACAAGAATTAAACACGATGTATTCCAATTTTCAGAATCATATTTGTAACATATACTAGTAGAGAACATAGCAGAATAACTAAATGTAAAAAAGTAATTTTCTAATGAAAAATAAATTTTTCTAAAATAAATATAAGATTTTTCAAAAGTCTATCCTAATACAGTCTTTAGACTTTGAAGGGAGTTACTGATAATTTAAAATAGATGATTATTGTTTTACATTTGGCTTCAGAATACAACAAATACTGCCTTTGGACCAAGAGCCAGGAGGATGAAAGAGAGCTAGAGGCTTTCTTGAATCATGACGTCTCTCTAGGTTATCCCGCTTTTCTATTTCTACTGCTATAAGCCTTATCACAGTCTATGATGTTTCAATAAGAAAAACATATTGTGTTCAGGTTAAGTCCTTGAATTCTAAAAAAAAAAAAAAAGCAAAAATTAAACAGTAGCATAAAAATTTGTTGCTTCTTACTTTATGAGAATTTGGTATGCTCTAACAAAAAGAATAAATTCTACTCAAACTGTCCTGAAAGGCAAAAGCTAAGCAACAAATACTTTTTTATATGGAATAACTGCAGGACATAATTTAAAAAATAGTTTGACAGAATACTACAATGGCACTACACCTGATGTTACTTTCTGCCTGAAACAATGGCAAAGCTCCTGGTTTACAAGCAACTGCTTTGATCAAAGAAGCAAATATTTATATAAAAGAAATAAATCTTAGTATCTCACGTATTCTTACATGTTTTAAAGAGAAAGAAACCATCACATTTCTTTAAGCCTAAAAGAACCACTTCAAAAGGAGCATTACCTTCAGGTAAGTAACTGAACAATTTTAGCTCTAAAAATATTATCTTAGAGATGAAAATGGAAAAGAAAAACAAATGGCCCTTTTGAACTCCTTACAAGACATTCTCAACATAGCACTCAATCACCTTAGAATTCTGTCACCTGTTTCTTACATCTGATTTAGCCAGATCTGGTTTCAAGTCTGTTTTTTTTCAGTTTGTCTTTTTAATTTGTTCATTTGTTTTTTACATTCACATTTGAGTGAATAATATGGTATTTGTCCTTCTCTGCCTTATTTTGCTTAGCATTATACTCTCTAGCTCCATGTTGTTGCAAATGGCAAGATTTCATTCTTTTTTATGGCCGAGTTATATTCCACTGTATATATACCATATCTTCTTTATCCATTCATCTATAAATGGACACTTGCACTGCTTCCATAATTTGGCTATTGTAAATAATGCTGCAATGAACATAAGGGTGCACCCATCCATTCAAATTAGTGTTTTCATATTCTTTGGGTAAATACCCAGTACTGCAATTACTGGATCATATGGAAGTTCTATTTTTAATTTTCTGAGCATACTGTTTTCCACAGTGGCTGCACCAGTTTGCATTCCCACCAACAGCGCATGACAGTTCCTTTTTCTCCACATCCTTGCCAATACTTGTTTCCTATGTTTTTGGTTTTAGCCATTCTGACAGATGTGAGGTGATATCTCATTATAGTTTTCATTTGCATTTCTCTGATGCTGAGAGTAATGCTGAGTGTCTTTTCATAGGTCTGTTGGCCATCTGTAGTATGTCTTCTTTGAAGAAATGTCTGTTCATGCCTTCTGCCCATTTTTAAATTGGATTATATTTTTTGTGTGTTAGGTTGTTTATGTATTTTGGAAGCTAACCCTTACCAAGTATATCATTAGCAAATATCTTCTCCCATTCAGTAGGTTGTCTTTTAGTTTTGTTGTCTCCTTTACTGTACAGAAGCTTTTTATTTTGATGAAGTCCCAATAGTTTATTTTTGCTTTTTTTTTCATTTCTTATTTTTTTTATTTATTTTTTATTTTTTATTTTTTTTTTTAGATTTTTTTTTTTATATTTTTGCTTTTGTTTCCCTTGCTTGAGGAGACAGATTAGAATAATGCTGCTGTGGCAGATAGCAGAGAAATTACTGCCTGTGGTGCTCTCTTTTAGGATTTTTATCGTTTCAGATTGCACATTTGGGTCCTTAATCCATTTGGGTTTATTTTTGTGTATGGTGTAAGAAAGTGGTCCAGCTTCATTCTTTTACATGTAGCTGTCCAGTTTTCCCAACGTGTTTTTTTCTTTTCTAAATACTCAGTTGGAAATTCCTTCAGACAAATTTCCTGAGGCAATTCCTTAATGAACTGGGGTTAAATCTTGTCAAATGCTTTTTGTGCACCTGTTTTTTTTTTTCGTAAAGTAGGCTTGATGCTCAGCATGGAGCCCAATGTGGGGCTTGAACTCACGACCGTGAGATCAAGCCCTGAGCTGAGATCAAGAGTTGGATGCTTAACAGACTGAGCCAACCAGGCGCCCCCCCACTCCAGATATCTTCTTTCATTATTAAAATGATATACTTGTGGCGGGCGCCTGGGTGGCTCAGCTGATTAAGCGACTGCCTTCAGCTCAGGTCAGGATCCTGGAGTCCCAGGATCGAGTCCCACATCGGGCTCCCTGCTTGGCAGGGAGTCTGCTTCTCCCTCTGACCCCCCCCCCCCCCATGCTCTCTCTCTCTCAAATAAATAAATAAATAATCTTTAAAAAAATTATATACTTGTGGATTTTAAAATATTTCCTTAACTTCCTAGCAAAAATCTATCTTAGTCATATCATTACTTTAAAAAAAAAAAATCCCAGGACCCTGGGATCATGACCTGAGCCGAAGGCAGACGCTTACCAACTTAGCCACCCAGGTGTCCCATGGGGAAATCTTTCTAACCAGATCTACATTTAACAGTAACAAGACTACTCAAGCTTTTTGTTTCTTTTTAAGTCAGGTTTTATTTTTTTTTTTAAGTAATCTCTACACCCAACATGGGGCTCAAACTTACAACCCTGAGATCAAGAGTCACATGCTCTACCTACCAACTGAGCCAGCCAAGTGCCCCTAAGGTCGTTACTTTATGATTTTTACAGTAATTTCTCCATTTCACCTAAGTTTTCAGAATAGTTGGCATAAGATATTCACTAATGATTTACTCTCTACTTGCAATTATGCCATTTTCTCTCATAATTTTATCTTCTTGACCAGTCTTTTTTAGAGATGTATTTTTTATTTCAAAACAGGCAACTTTTGTCTTTGTATGTTAATGACTGGTGCCCCTATTTTCATGATTTCTTCTAATTTATTCCATTGTTCCTTTTTCTAACTTAAGATGGACACCTAGCGAACTGTTTAAAAGATTTTTTTCTAATACACTTTCTCTTGAATTTTTTATGTGTTTCTGGTGTGTAAGCATTATCATTTTGTTCCAAGTATTTGTGATTTCCATTACAGTTTCTTTTTACTCAAGTTACTCAGTGTTATTTTTAACTTCCAAGTATGTATGTAGTAGTTAAACTTTTTGTTAGTAACTTCTAAGTTACTTGTAGTTAGAGATCACTTTACAATAGCTATTTAAATGTTATCTGAACCTTTATGTCCTAACACAAATCACTTTTTGTAAATATCCATGTGTGCCTAAGAAAAGTATTTCCCAATTGTTGAACAAAGAACCTGATATGTTAACTAGGACCAACTTGTTGTTCTTGCTGATTTCTACACTGAAATCTCTGCTTAAATAATTTTTAAGTTTCTCTGCCGTTTTAGGGTGCCTGGGTGGCACAGTCAGTTAAGCATCTGACTCTTGGTTTTGGCTTTGTGATCTCAGGGTTGTGAGATCGAGCCCTGAATTGGGCTAAATGCTCAGCCCAGATTCTGCTGGAGATTCTCTCCCTCTCCCTCTGCCCCTCCCACTCATGCTCTTTCTCACTTTCTAAAATAAATAAATCTTTTAAAAAAATTTTCTCTGCAGTTTTAACAATTTCTCAATTCAGATATTGAAGTCTTTATTTATTTGAATCTACCAATTTTTGCTTCATATAGTTTATCAGGTTCACGCATGTTAAAAATTGCTATACCTTCTTGATATGCTAAATCTTCTATCCATATTTACAACCCTCACAATCCCTAATAATGATTTGTCTTATTTTATTAGTGTAGCAGTAACAATTTTATTTTGGTTAGCATTTCTTTTTTTTTAAATCCTATTGTTTTCAACCTTGCTGTATTCCTATGCTTTAAGTGTGTCTTGTATTCTAGAAAGTATCTAGATTTCTTTATTCTAATCAGTAATTTTCTTAATTTTGGTTCTCAAATTTTGGTTTTCAAAACTCAATTTTGGAGTTTTGGTTCACTTAGATTTATTATATTTATTGATGTATTTGGTCCTATTTCTACCTTAATCTTACATTTCAGTTTATCCCACTTTATTTTTAAGGCTCTCTTTAAATTTTTTACATCAAAGATATCATCTTCTAATAAGAACTTTAATATGCTCTCATATCCTTTGATCTTGCCTTCCTCTGCAAACACATCAAGGTTGGTATTAACAAGACCTTTCAGTTATTAAGGATATATTTTTTCAATTAGCAATAATCGTGCCTCGGATAAACCTCAATGGCTTTATAAAAAATATAAAGACAACAATCAACTCTACCAAGGTAAATAATCACAAATCTCTTGCAGCTTAATTTTGTAATTAATTTTTACCTTTTTGGTTAAGCACTTTATTCAAAACTGTTTTCAATGTCACCTTTTAATAAAAATCTTCAGAGGACTTTAATGTCTGAGATATTTTATTATCTACACTTATTTCAAATATGGTTTGGCTAGATATTAAATTCTAAGGTTTAAGTTCTTTTCCATCAACTTTGAAAATGTGACTCCATAATTACCTTGTACCCAGTGTTGCTGCCGAAAAAAAGTGAAGCTCTTCCTTGTTCTTTTTATATACTGCTTGTTCTTTCTTTCTGCAGCCTTTAGAATTTCTTGGTCTTC